TTGGTTTCCTTCGGATTTCTTCGGTTTCCTTTGGTTTGGATTCTATGGTTTTCGTTTGATTCCCTTCGGTTTTCTTCGGTTTCCTTTGGTTTGGATTCTATGGTTTTCCTTTGGTTTCCTTTGGTTTCCAAGGAAAAGACAAACCAACCAAGGAAAGTCCAAGGAGGCTATAAGCCCATAGAATGCATCAATCATGCCTGTAACTCGCCGTCCTTTTGGGGCCGGAACCCGCCCATGCTGTGTGGACAGTTGCAGGAGGCAAACCTCTTGAAAAGCAACTTTTTCGGGAGCTTGTCTCTTAGAAACTTCAAAGACGCGTTTGAGCTTTTCCCGGAGTCCCGGAGAAAAATACGATCTAAAATAGAGTACGGAGGTGCAAACTATCGACAGCCAACCCTGGGATGACCTGCATCTGCAAAATCTCAAGGACCAAAGATTGTTGGACAATTCCAACCCTCAACTCCTTCACAGAACACACCTCTCAAAAGGGATTCGCTTGGGTCCCCGGGCAAGTGGGCAATTCATGGTCAGGATCTCCACATAAAAAGCAAGCCTGTGCTTAGCGTGTCTTCTTGCTGCTGTTGGTGGAGCACATGTAAGGGGTGTGCAAGTATGTACGTTTGTATGGCCAGATATTCAGAAGGAATGCAGAACAAACCTAGTGAAAATGACTACAATAGGCAATCAAATAAAACCGAGCACTCCAACAACCAATGCCGAATGCAACCGCCACATGTAGAAAACATGCCCATTCGTGGTCCAGCCCATGCCTAAGATATTTGAAATACGACTTGTAGGCAGAACAGGTGAAACCATCCCCAGACATTGGGCGGTCTTTGATGGCAGGATACACCATTTATATCCCTTTATATCTTTAGTTAAAGGCGGGCTTGGGCATGCAGCCGCTCACCAAAAACATTTAGAACATGGCGTTAGCAAGCCTGGGATGCCCCAGAGAAGGCATATACGAGTATATATACCCCAGCAAACCTGGAGATGCGCCATGAAAGAACAAATAAACAATTTTTAATTCCAACCTATATCGCGAAAAACACGGTTGGTATCCAACAAATGAACTGACAACCTGACGTGCAATGACTTCTTACTGAAAATTGAAGTACTGACTAACTAGTGGTTCCGCGCAGCCCCTTATTTTGACAGCGAGCTAGCCCACGCCTTGCGGGCCTGCTTGGGCCTTGCATGTGAAACAAAGCGGTGGGAAGTTTGGCCTCCACAATTTACCAACGAAAAAAGGGAGCCTTGACAACTACGGCAACTACGGAGATGTATGTAACCAACAAACATGTGAGTTCAAGCGGCGAAATGGCGGTGTGAGCCAAGCAAAATACGGGTTCGCTCTGTAACGAAATGGTGCTAATCGGTGATGGAGGTTTACTCTTGGACAATCTCGTGCGCCAACTTGAAGCCCCCGTTTCCAATAGGTAAATCATCCACTGAGGTGCTATTTTCCATTGCCAGCTTGCCTGCTATGGGGCAGAGGCTGCAGTTATACGGTGCCGTCCCATGTTCCTTTTTGACTAAGCTTGCCGGTGACATTAAATGCTACCATGATGCTATCCTACTCCACTTGATTCCATTTCTACAATCAAAGGCGTGGAAGAAGTTTTCCAATAATAAAAAACCCGGCCTGCTGAATGAATACCAAGGCTACGGGTGCCCATGGGTGTTCATGCACCCAAAATAGGCCCATAGGTCTTGATGCATCAAGTATACTCAGTGGAACGGCAACTGTTCGAATTTGTTCAACGGCATGACTGTGTCGACTGTGTAATGCTGCTACAGCTGCGCATAGTCTAGTCATGATACCGCCCAAAATTTCACAATCTTGTGACACTTTTTGCAGCGTTCCCGATTGCTCCGGTCTTCCCGGGACCCGTGACCTTGAAGGAGCCGAGCCTGGAGCAAGCTTGAATGATACAGAAAAGACAGACGGGGGAATGGTTCATGTGGCTCAACCATTATGACTTTGGCGGAAATACCGCACTAAAGCGCCAAGTTGGAATGTAGTAGATCAGCATAGGGTCTGTGTCGAACAGCTATAGCTAAGCCAAACCAAACAAAATTGTCAATTGTCAAGTGGGATCCAGATTCTGCAACCAACTAGTTTTCCGAACAATGTCCCAATCTGATTTCTGCTGAATTCGCCCATTGACTCACCGTTTTAGGCTACTCCAAGGCAACCCAAGTGGATGTGAAGCGCCTTATCCATCAACCAAAAAAAGGGGAGTGGAACAACCCATCGGCCTGCAGTCGACAGACCTTCTGCAGCCTCCTGCGGGTGCTTGCTGTGTTCTGGACTGGTTCCTAAAGGCCAATAGGGACGGTGGAAGGTCTATGAACCATGGAGTTCCATTTCTTTCCTGAAAACCAACTTCTAGGTCAGGGGAATCCGACTTTGAAGGGCGTGGACTTCTGTGCTTCTTGAAGCGGACCCTCTTTGGAACAAACATGAAAAAAGACTTCAATGGGTACACATCGAAGCAAAACGAATCCAAACCCATGGTGATTCACAAGCAAAAGCCCCTTCCCAACAGAAACATAAATGGCACGCCTCATCCCTCCCTTCAAAACCAATCTACTTGGTGGATCGAGCAGTATTGCTTCACGTGCGTCAACATTAACAAAATCCCACGAAATTCGCAGAAACCATCTTAACCAAACCAATGTTGGTTGCCCAGCGCCCATCCCCTTACCATTGTTGGTTTCTTTCCCAGATGGTTGACAATCAACCATATCGTCAACCAGCTGCTGGTTTACTGACCACTCACCAGCCTCCACATCAGCTCGTCTGCGCCTCAGCTGTGGAAAGCATGCCCCTCAAGTGGCCATGGCAGTGGCTCTAAGCCTTCAACTGGGCACCCCATTGGGGCATCCATCTGTCTCACCATGCATCGGCCACCCATCTATCAAGCGGGAATGCTGTAGTGTATTCTGCACACCTGTCACAAGTATGCAAGGCATCCACATCTATGAAAATCTTGGAAATGGCCGTTGGGATGGTGACTTGAAAGTTAAGTGATGAAATTGCCGCCCAGTCTGTCAACATCAGTTGCATCCCGATTTTTTGGTGGTTGCATTGAGTTCCATACCGTTAAGGCTGGAACAGTCCCTAAATCCACTCGTCTTTTGTTCAAGCCCCAACCGGTTTTATTTTCGCAGTGAAAAGCTCGTGTTCCAGATGCGTGTCCATGCTTTGTAGGTAGCGGTGTGTGCGTGGGTGTTCATACATGTATCTGCATGTTTCATGTATATGTTACGCTGTTAAGCGCACAGGAATGCGTGACCTGCGTACATACATGTCATCGGCATCGCATGCATACAAAGATCCACGCATGTGATATACAAACATACACCCCTGACACGCTGCAAAAATGGCTCTGGAAGATTCTGGAAGATGATGTTCGAAAAGTTCTCTGGGGATGTGAGCAAACCCAAGAATATCAATTGGGACTGGCCAATAATGACCCAAACGAACCAACCATTCACTCAACCGCCAGACTGAAACTTCATGAGATAGCATCCGCAAAGTTCACCGGGTGCGGCCGGGCCATACCCAACGAACAAACAATCGGCCAACAACTAATCAAACATTCATTCAGCCAAGCATGGAACAACCGTCCCTCAATCATCAAGCAACCGCCAAAGAACAGCCAATGCTCCACCGGTTGCACATCCTGGAAACTATCACCCTTTTGGCCGGTTAAAGTTAAAGCTTTCATTGTCATACCCCTGGCCGCGTGTCGTTGAGGCAATTCACCCATCCTATCCCCCACGTAGAACGTATTTTGCAGGTTCAACCCCCGGTTTCATGGGTAAACCTTTTCTATTTCCTTGGTTTACCAACTTCAGGGATATATAGCTCAGTGCAAATCATCAATCCGATTCTTGATGGTAACACCCAATGTTTTGTTGGTTAAGCCCTCCCAGCAAATACCACGTCCAGCATCCGTTGGCCAGTCTGTTTAGCTGAAGTTTGTTGTCTTCTGGTTACATCCCCTACAATCTCATGGTGAACCAACTTTCTTTTTATGGTGATCTTTTACATTTTTTCCGAGGGGCTTGCTCAGAACATCGCCTTTTTTCTATTCTGGAATCTCGTTTTCGCCTGGTGCAAACTCACTATTTGAGATGGTTCCAGTGTTGTGATGGCAAAAAGGTACCCGCCTCATCTTGGGAAACAACAGGCTAAATTCCCCGAATCACCGCCCCAGCGCTGGGCTCTCCCAACTTCCGCAGCGTCTTGGGCTGGGACGGTGCTGGAGCTGCCTCAGGGCCCAGTAATCGATGAAACCAACAGCCCGGCTGTTTATTGATGGATTTGTGGATGGGGCTGATTCTTGATGTTCTTCGCATGATTGGCCTGAGCAGGATGGAAGATTGATGTTCTTGTTGGTGCTGGGGATGATGGATAATCCCTGTGCTTGGGTGAAATGAAGATGGGCTGTTGGTGAATGGCTGCCTCGTGTTGAGCCCTGTTTATGGATGCTTCCTGCATCTCTCCTTTTGTTATTCCGGCTATGCTCCCAGGCTTCTTGGTTACCTCCCATGTTCGTTGGTGATGTCTCAGCAGCACCCCCAGGATGTCCTCACCGCTGTCGAGCCACCGGTTCGGCTCCCGCAATGGACCTCAGAATTGGCTAATTGACTTGGAGGCGGCCCCCTAAAGAAGTGATAAGTTCCTACAGAAGCAGGACAGCAAATCAAATAGCCAAGGACTCCAATTTACCCATTGTCCGAAGATATTGGGTGGCTTTAATGGCTTGGAGCCCAATTGCTGATCAACTACCAAACCAGCCCAAACAACATGCAGCTTAACCGCTGCTGGGTCTCCAGGCTTGTCACCATGAAACGGGTAGACCCGAAGAATGGTATTGTGCAGCCTGCAGGGATAAATGCTCTACTCAGGTGATGGTTCAAAGCTGGTTGGGTCTGCTTGGATAAATTGTTAAGCAAGATCTTCGCATGACAAATTTAGGATCTCAACAGCCAGCCCTTTCCATGGATCTTGGCACCAGCTGGCCTGAAGTCTCCGCGGTGCCCCAAGCTGCAGAGAGTTCGCGCCTGCCTGGGTTGATCTGGTTGAGCTGGTTGAGCAGATATGTCTTGGGGAACATATCCCCTCAAATGCAATCAGAATCTGAAAGAGCGGGCCAAACAAATTTTGATATATCAACCGAGTAGGCTGGATGTCCTTAAACTCCGTTGACATACTGAACTTGTCAGCTTTTCTTAGTTCGGTGAAGTGGGAATTACTTGAGCGGTGACCAATTTGTTGCCTCACCTTTAGCATTTTAGTTGGTTAGTAGATGGTTCATTTTACAGTCTCAAATGAGCAGCCCAATGTGCACATCTATCGCGGAACAAAGAAACATATCTCAAAGAAATATCGTCATCCAGGCCTTTTGGTCCCATCCCCTGACCCGGCCCCGCCTCACACTGCCCACGCGTGCCATGAAGAGCTGAGAGGCCTTTGAGAAGTTCAGCGTCAACGGTTCCGCGTTGCGCTGTTGCAACATCCTCGGGATCAGGGTTGTCGCTGAGCAAAGTGCCAACTTCAGGACAAGTTAACTGGAAACACGAGGATGCACATAGAGCTGAAAATTGGCTATGCAATGATCGAAGCGTGATAGTTTCAGACATTTTGAAGGGTGGATCATGTGATTTGCCATTGGCGAACCGGCCAGATTTGCAGAAATGGCTTTAGAACCATACATCAGACAGCTTCATGCTCTGACTGCAACAAGATGTGGAGAAATACGCTGAGTATCGAATGATGCAATCTTCTTGGTAGATCATGGTGGGCCGTTGCGCCCTCGTAATTTTTTGGTTACACCATTACATATCACTGCAGCGGCGTCGTTTTGAATATCCCCCAACTGGTAGGCAGTAGCAGTATTAGTGGTGTATACCATCATCCTTGTATTGTTTATAAAGTAGCCATAGACAGCCGTCAGGAGTGGGTCTGAGGCAATCTTGTTTTAGCTTCTTTACACCCACCAACATTTGCTGCTTTGACTTATTGACTTTCCGTACTTGTGTTTTTGTGCATTGCTGTAGTTACAGGTTTGGTAAAGGCCGAGGCAGCAAGGATGCATTTCGATGGATCTCAGTTTCACGATAGCAAATCTAAGCGCTTGGATGTGCATCTCACAGTTGGTCATGCCAAAACACTTATGCATGAGAGGGAATGTCCTAAATCTCTAGTCGGATTCAAGCCATGGCTCAAAAGCTGGTAATTAAGTACGGATTCTAAATCATCCCAGGGGGCCCAATTTTGTATCCCATGTGGGGATGGCTTGTTGGCGCCAAGGGTCGCCCAAATCTCATCACGATCCTCTTCTGCTGCGCCCTTGACCTGAACACACCTTGGCCGGGGTATAAAACCACCGTTGGGGTCGGGGAAACCACCTGGGATATGTTCAAAGTAAAAATGAAACCGGAGAAATTATCAACTGCTGCTTCCATCATCAAGTTGCTACTATTTATCAAGATGAATGGATAGCATGTGGCTAGTAATGCCTGGGGAAGTCTGGGTTTATTGGATGGTGAATACCTCGGGAAACATGGATTGCACCATCAATGGGAATGGGATGGTAAATGAAACCAACACGCTTTTCCGACGCTTTTCGAACAATTCGCCTGCTCAGTAAATGAAACCAACAAGTTGAGGACGAGGGTATCTGCTGGGAAATTGTTGGCCCGATTTGCCACCTACAGCAGCCCCAATACGATGGCAAAGAGAAAGAGGCACCGACCACATCATAAAGCATTCCAGCACAAGTTCATCCTGGAGAAATGCGTATCACTACTGGTCTCACACAATCAGATGTTGCTGGGCTAACGCAAACACCAAGTAACCACACATCATCAAGTTTAGCTTTTACCAGCCACTTGTTGGGTACCCGCCTGTCCTCACCTGAACCGGCCCCATGCAACTTAGAAACTGCCGCCAAAATGGGCATTGAAACGCTTGATGTGCACCAGCCGTGCCATCACACAGAAAGCATGGCCTCAGCAGCGGCGCCCGTTATTCCTGTGTTGGCACCTGGCACCATTTGGCACCGCGCCCTTGGTCACTTTTCACTTCCCGTTCGCGGGACTTTCCCTGGCGACAGGTTAGAATGGCAAACGGAACGGAAATTCGTTGCCTTTCGGCCAGGGTGGGGTCCATCTTTGGAGACAAGGCAAAACAGCCTTGACCGTTGGTGGGGGACCCTGGTGGTGCAGGGCTGTATGGTGAAGACATCAGGTTTCAGACCTTTTGTGGGAATTCAATATGCTAGATGTGTCCACCTTCATGATCCCTCATCGAATAAAACCCAAGGGTTGGAACATAGAGGAAAACGCTGAGGTACGCCGTCCAATCTGCATAATAAACTGAAACCCGCCCATCCCAACCGCCATCAAAACCCACCTTTGCATCTCCCTTCCCTTTGGCAACTTTGGCCGCGGGCTGTCCCTGGTGACGGCGGGATGGATCTCACGGGCACGGTGTGAATCCCGATCTTGAAACCTGCCAAAAAAACTGATAACGGATTTGGGGCTTACTTTGACTGTTTGATATTTGTTTGTGCACTCATTTCTGGCACGTTGAATGCTGTTGAACGTTTAAACGTTTACATTCTCCAATTATCATCTTGCATTTTGTTGGCAGTATTTTGCGATGCTCCTGAAAAAACATACGGGAAATAGTCCCCACAGCAAGAGAAGCATATGGCCCTGTGGATCCCAGTGGAATATATACATGTATGGCGGGACACCTACTGCAAGTGGGTATGGGTGACAGCGGGTACCAAGTGAAACAAACAGTAAACACTCCATCTGTAGGGGGTCAAGCACCAAACTTTCGATTGATCAATGAATGGCTGCCACCTTTAGATGCTGGATTTCAATTGCACGTGCGTCCATTGCTCACTTCCTTGTTTGCTCTTGCATCAACATTTTGCACCCATGTACTCCCACCTTCCATCATTTTCGCTACAGAAAAATCTATTTTTGATGGGCACAAAAATCTGATTGGACCGTTTATTGGTGAACAGCACATTTGCACCCTCTGCACCGGGCAAAATCTTCCACCAGCTCCATCAATCCATCGCCGTTTTCCCCACCTTTGAGATGCCATAGACTTTCGCTTTCTCGCCATCAATCTCCAAGGCCTGATCTGATGCAACAGGAATCTGCAGATGGTCAGATAGATAGATGACACAATCAGATACGAAAAGATAAGACAAGATAAGATAAGATAAGGTAGAAATATAAATGGATCAGATCAGATAAGAAACATAAGATAAGATAAATTAAGACAAGATTAGACAAATAGAAAGAAGCAAAGACAGATAAGATGTAATGAGTTAAAATAAGACAAGATAACATGAGATAAGAAAAGACGCGATAAAATAGATAGAGAGAAGCATGGATAAATAAGAAACAGGGAAACACTATCAACAGAAAAGACTAGGTAAGCAAAGATAAGAAAAGAAAACGACAAATAAGGTCAGACAAGACAAGATAAGATAAGATACGATGATAGATGGATGGATGGCTGGATAGATAAATGGATGTAGATCGATAGATAGATGCAGATAGAAAGATAAAAAGATGTCCATGTAGATAGATAGATAGGCAGGTAGATAGATAGTTAGATTAGATAAGATAAGAAAGACAAGATAAGATAGATAGATTAGGCAAAGAGGTAGATAGATAGGCAAAGAGATAGATAGATAGATAGGTAGATAGATAGATAGATAGACAGACAGATAGATAGATAAATAAGATAGATAAGATAAGAAAGACAAGATAAGATAGATAAGATAAGATAGATAAGATAGATTAGATAGATAGATAGATAGATAGAAAGAAAGATAGATAGATAGATAGGCAAAGAGATAGATAGGCAAAGAGATAGATAGATAGATAGATAGATAGAAAGAAAGAAAGATAGATAGATAGATAGGTAGGTAGGTAGGTAGATAGTTAGATAGATAGATAGATAGATAGGCAAAGAGATAGATAGATAGGCAAAGAGATAGATAGATAGATAGATAGATGGATAGATAGATAGATAGATAGATAGATTAGATAAATTAGATAGACGAGATAGAAAAGATAGACAAGATAGAAAAGATAGAAAAGATAGACAAGATAGATAAGATAGATAAGATAGATAAGATAGATTAGATAGATAAGATAGATTAAAAAGATAAGATCGATAAAAAAGATAAGATAGATAAGACACACTTGCTCACACAGCTTGTCCTCACACAACTTGCACACACACACACAACTTGTCCCCACATAACTTGTCCACACATAACTTGTCCTCACACAACTTGTCCACACATAATTTGCTATCACACAACATGTCCAACTTGTTCTCACACAACTTGTTCTCACACAACTTGCTCACACACAACTTGTCCACACACAGCGATATTGACACTTTGCGTGGCAGACGTGCCCACACACACAATGTCATCACACAACTTGTCCTCACACAACTTGTCAACACATCTACGGGTTCCCGTGGTCGCCGCGGCGTCTCGCGTGGCAGGCATGGCACTAGGTGACATCGATCGTCACTTTGCGTGGCAGGCGTGGCGCTTACGGCACTAGGCGGGCTACAACTTGCTCACGCACAACGTGCCCACACACACACAACTTGTCCTCACACAACTTGTCCTCACACAACTTGTCCTCACACAACTTGTCAACACATCCACCTGCGTGGCAGGCGTGGCGCTTGGCGACATCCACCTGCGCTTTGCGTGGCAGACGTGTCCACACACACCTTGTCATCACACAACTTGTCCTCACACAACTTGTCCTCACACAACTTGTCAACACACAACTTGTCCTCACACAACTTGCTCACACACAACTTCCTCACACACAACGTGCCCACACACAACTTGTCCTCACACAACTTGTCAACACATCCACCTGCGCTTTGCGTTTCAGGCGTGGCACTTACGGCACTGGGCGGGCTCTGGTGGCGCAGCGGGTTCCCGTGGTCGCCGCGGCGTCTCGCGTGGCAGGCGTGGCACTTGGCAACATCCACCTGCGGTTTGCGTGGCACTTTGCTAATGTCGCCATTTCTTGACAGGAATGACAGCCTGTTGTTTTGTTTTGTTCTGCCAGGTACCGACTTCATCGCGCAGATGCTGTGCCCCTCACCTGTCCCTTCTGCTCCTATGTTTGGTGTTTTTCCCCACATCTTTGTGTGGGGTTCTTGTGTGGACGCGGTGGCCGTCACGGCTGTTGGTGTGGCAGGCGTGGCCCATTACGACACCCACCTTTGTTTCACGTGGCAGGCGTGGTACTTGGTGACGTACACACATACGTATGCATAACTTTTCCCGCACAACTGTTTTTACTTCTCGATCCTTGTCACCACCTCCTTTGTCTTTCCTTCCTTCCTTCCCCGTCACAACTTCTGCACGCACACACACACACACACACGCACACACACACATACACACACATGCACACACACACACACCTCACACACAACTTATCACCACACAACTTATCACCACACAACTTACTCACACTTACTCTTCCACACACAACTTACTCCACACCAATCCTTCACCATCTCTTTTCTCTTTCTTGCTCTCCCCATGCCATCTTTACGTTTCTTTTGCTGCTTGTTGGAAGAAGTTGACATGTGGGGTTGTCCGGTCCCTTAATTTAAGAATATGGGCTTTTAGCCGCAGAAACGGGTCCACAAAGGTGGGTGTGTCTGGGACACTTCGGATGCCCGCCCCTGACGTCACTTGAGTTGTGGGTAGCCCGCCCCTGCAAATTCATGTAGGAATCGCATCCCCTGTGGTAGACAACCTGGCCATGTAAAACTCCTCATTGATGGATGCCTTTTCTAAGGAGTGAGGTGTTTCGCCAAGCTTGCTTGGCAAAGAGCATAGCATCCCAGAAAATTCAACCATCTTCTACAGGACCCCCACAGTACCTATCATGTGGTTTTGGCCTTAGCTTCTGGTAATCCAACCTGCTAGAAACACCCAATTTCCTTATATTAACATTGGTGTTCTCAGGCAGCCAGTTTAGATTGCCAAAGAGCGCAGCCAGTCGAATCCAGTTGTGTTGGTTAAAAGAACCCAAGTAGTGGTGGGATCACTTTGGCAGCTGACATCTCAATGTTCTTGAAACCAATAAGCATTTTTGCGGAGAAACACTTGGCTGGTAAGACAGTATCTTCCTTGTATATAACTTAGTGTCGTTCAAGATATGAGTGGTTTAAAACTTTGCCTAACATCAACTTCCAAGAATCTGATGATCGGCACCTCCATGGCGATAAGCTCCTGCGCAGCCTGAGGGTGGTTCAGACGCACGTAGAGCAGGCCACCGCCCGAGGTCTCCTCGCATGCCCCGGAAATATGGCTGTGGAAGCTGTGGAAAGAGGTAAAAGTTTTCAAAGATTCTTATGTTGATATTGGGGATGTGTATAAATGCACGCATGAAAAATCACTATATCTATAAATAGATATAGCTTGGGGTATCGTTAATCGTGAATTGGAAACACAAGGAATTGGATTGTGTAAAAAAATGCTTCTGACATGGTATGAATGGGGATAATTTGTTATAATGAACGCTCGCTAGCCATAGCCATGATACATCAGTTTACAAAGGCCATGCATATTTCTTGCTAAGCTAATACCTGATGACATCTGGTTGCAGATGATTATCAGGGGTAAAAAGTCTATAGCAGGTTTGAAAGGGCCCAACAAATTATTAGAAAGGAATGAGCAAATTGGCCAAAAATAGCACGCAGTTGTGCAGATTTGTCTGTTCCAAAGTGTGCCAAGAATATCTTCAGGAATCGAGGTGTGTACCTTTCAATTTAAGTCATAAAAATGTTCATCTGATAGCTGGCCCACCTACAACAAAATGGAGGGCCAAAACGAGCAATGATGCGCACTTTGTCCTAAGTCTGCCCTCTTTGGCTCAAAAACAACATGATTGGGAGGGCCAGTGAACAGCACTAGGCCCCCCCAACCAAAACACGCGCGCGCAAATCATACTTGTCTTACACAGTTGATCAGGAGCCAATTGATCAGGGTCAAGAAACCGAATTGAATCCCATGAAGGCCCCATATGAAATATAGGGTGCCCCATTTTAAACCTCTTTGCCCAACACAGCTTCTCAATGCCCAACATAGGCACAGCATAGGCTCAAGGCAGGCTCGATTTGGCTCAACATGGGCTCACCATGTATTCAGCATCCACCAAAAGCATCAAAATGAGCGTGTTCATCTGGCACCCTGTGCCGGTTGCCCGATGAACGCGTGTTTTGTGATTTCTAAATGGACCAGAAAAGGCTCCGCATCCCCCGTTTGAACACAGATAAATCTATTAAAACTTAAACATTTGATTGATGGATATGTATGCAGATAACAACCTTGCTATCTGTCTGTCTGTCTGTCTGTCTATCTATCTATCTGCCTCTCTCTTTGCCTATCTACCTCTTTGCCTATCTATCTCTTTGCCTATCTATCTCTTTGCCTATCTATCTCTTTGCCTATCTATCTCTTTGCCTATCTATCTCTTTGCCTATCTACCACTTTGCCTATCTATCACTTTGCCTATCTATCGCTTTGCCTATCTATCCCTTTGTCTATCTATCTCTTTGCCTATCTATCGCTTTGCATATCTATCTCTTTGCCTATCTATCTCTTTGCCTATCTATCTCTTTGCCTATCTCTCTCTTTGCCTATCTATCTCTTTGCCTATCTATCTCTTTGCCTATCTATCTATCTATCTACCTAACTATCTAAATATCTACCTATCTACCTATCTACCTATCTACCTATCTATCTACCTATCTATCTACCTATCTATCTACCTATCTACCTATCTATCTATCTACCTATCTATCTATCTATCTACCTATCTATCTACCTATCTATCTATCTGTCTATCTATCTATCTATCTACCTACCTACCTATCTATCTATCTATCTGTCTCTCTCTTTGCCTATCTACCTCTTTGCCTATCTATCTCTTTGCCTATCTATCTCTTTGCCTATCTATCTCTTTGCCTATCTATCTCTTTGCCTATCTATCTCTTTGCCTATCTATTTCTTTGCTTGTCGATCTCTTTGCCTATCTATCTCTTTGCCTATCTATCTCTTTGCCTATCTATCGCTTTGGCTATCTATCTCTTTGCCTATCTATCTCTTTGCCTATCTATCTCTTTGCCTATCTATCTCTTTGCCTATCTATCTCTTTGCCTATCTATCTCTTTGCCTATGTATCTCTTTGCCTATCTATCCCTTTGCCTATCTATCTCTTTGCCTATCTATCTCTTTGCCTATCTATCTGTTGGCCTATCTATCTGTTGGCCTATCTATCTCTTTGCCTATCTATCTCTTTGCCTATCTATCTCTTTGCCTATCTATCTCTTTGCCTATCTATCTAACTATCTACCTACCTACCTACCTACCTATCTATCTATCTATCTATCTCTTTGCCTATCTATCTAATTATCTAACTAACCATCCATCCATCCATCCATCCATCCATCTCTTTGCCTATCTATCTATCTATCTAACTATCTAACTATCTAACTATCTATCTATCTATCTATCTATCTATCTCTTTGCCTATCTATCTATCTCTTTGCCTATCTATCTATCTATCTATCAATCGATCTATCTATCAATCGATCTATCTATCAATCGATCGATCGATCTATCTATCTATCTATCTATCTATCTCTTTGCCTATCTATCTATCTATCTATCTCTCTATCTATCTATCTCTTTGCCTATCTATCTATCTATCTATCTATCTATCTATCTCTCTATCTCCATCCATCCATCCATCCATCCATCCATTCACCTATCCATCTACTTAACCATCGACCCATATCTAGATTTCATCACATCTAATCGGCAATCCCCTTGGTTTAATTTTTGTCTTCTGAATAAAGTTACATGGTTTTATGGATTCGCCGGAACGTGGGGTAGACCCAACATGTCAATCTGAATACAATCGGCTGATAAAGCTACGTACTAAGCCTCCAATTAACCCCCTTGATGGGTAAGCTAGGCGGCTGACTAACGAGTTACAATCCGTTGGGTGATCCTCGAATAGCCTCCGTAGTCCACTATCCCATTAATCCTTCTTGGTATCCCATAGATTACAATCTGCCTCCCCCTAAGTGGGAATCCCAACATCTTGGATTGTATGGGGTTTATCCACATCCCGTGTATGCCAAAAAAAAACCGAACGAATTTTGTGCCCATAGTAATCCATCAGCTTCTAGCTAAACATGGACCAATAGGAAGTATCCCATTGTTACTCAGCTATCAAGATCCCTTTACTGGATTCCCACATGTTGGGTTGTAATTCAAACCAGTTCCTAAATGGGGTGATTCGGGCTTTAGATCCCTTGAAATATCCCTGGACTACAGTTTTGCCCTTGTGGGCTACACTCCGTCGGGTGGCCCATCCAAGTTTATTTCATACCCGATAACCAGGGCATAGCCGGCTTTCAAAATGATGCCCATGTCAATCAGCCCGTTCCTATGGTAACCCCACAAAAGATAGAACGCTTGGACACCTATCAGTTATGGGGAGAACATCATCTATACCATCCTGGGGCACTATGAATAGATATCAATGGGGGTTTCTCAAATGGGGACCCCCAAGTCCCCATAGGTTTCAGTGCCAGAATGGTCATCCATGACTTGGATGATTTTGGGGTACCCCCACAAATTCGGAAACCTCCATATCTCATCCAATGATCATGGTAATCCATATATTCACCAAGGTTGACCATTCTAGTAACTACTATAAACCATTATTCCACCAAAGTCTTGATTATACCAGTCATACCCATATGATTTTTGATGGTCTATACCCATATATAATTAACCATTATTCCCCATGGTGTCCATATAATCCCAACATGGCTTTACTCCCACTATATCCCCATTAAGTCTTGGTTCTACCCTATTAAAGATTGTGATTTTCCATAGTTATCTTATTTTACAAAAGGGTACCCCCATGACTTACAGGGTGGTGTCACAGTTCGTTAGCTAAGTTGGTGCAAATAAGTCCAATAATTATGGTTTATAGGTGATATATCTCTAGTTAATATTAGACTATAGTTATAAATAATGATAAATGGGTGATATATCTATAAACCATAGTTATAAATCACTATGTAAAGGTGATATATCTATAGATAATCCCATCAACTATGATTCTAACCCATTTATCACTGGGGGGGCACCTTGTAGGAAAACCCCCATGGTACCTCTCCCTTCCGCGCCCGTCCTTCTTGTACCATCTCACCGCTTCAGGCGCTGCAAGACCTTTGGCTTCCAAGGCCTTCTCGACCAAGCTGCGACGCTGCGCCCTGGTCCAAGAAAAAATACCAAGGGGTAACAAAGGAGACTGAAAACACTGGAGTTCACACAGACCGCATCAGAAAACATCAGAAAACATCAGTTCACACAGATCTTAAGTATTTTGAATTTAACAGTCCTGATTTAAGCAAATAAAAGGCAGGTGCGCCGAACAGGAAAATCAACCAACGTGTGGATGCAATCAAGCGCCATGGTGCAGTATGTGCGAAGACTGAGGGTATAAGGGACTCATTTGTACATACGGCCCAAGAGAGGAACTGCTTGACGCAGAAAAACTGGGGGAATACAGGCCCTGTCCCGATACATTTGTGACATCAAGAAAAGCGACGATCAAAAGAACCCTGTCCCAAACACACTGTGTCAATTCAATCCTTCGCCAAGCCGCAATGGAAAAAACATACATAGCCCTCCCCGACGGCACCAGGGGCACCTGTCCAGATTTTCCAATTTGTTACTTCGAATCACCACGCCCTGTGGCAAGTACTTGCACTCCAAGACGGCGTGGTCCTAGCGTTTCCGGCTGGGGACAGATGGTATGGGGGCTCAAGTCATTAGGTATTCGAATTAGGGTGATTTGTTGGGCTTTCCCTTTTTCTCCGCAATCAGAACGTTCCCTTAGCAACAAAGGTTTCTTGGATGAACGGGTGAGCAAGGCGCAACTTGCAGGCCCCAAGCCAAGAGTTTAAAGGGAACCCTGAGCTACGCATTCCGGAAAACTGAGTGATTAAAACACAAAGTGAACATGTGACCTGGGGGATTACTTGAACTAGGTTTCCTGTTCATCAGCTCGACTGCCAAAACAAGGCAAACATAAGATACACTGTGCAGGAGAAAGTTGTTCCTTCCGTGATTTGATCTGCTTTGGCAATGCCTCTGACATATCGTGTCCAAATTGACCCCCAACCCTCACGAGCTGCCCTTAATGAGTCGCACAAAAAAACCTGAATCACCGGCCCAAATCAGCCACTAAAGTGGATGAACGATTATGGGGTTATATGCGCGAAGGCTCAAACACAATTGAAACAATCATCAAAATCACAGAGACACAATGATTCAATCGTGAGCCCTCATTCTTTATTTCAACATCTTTCAGTCCTGTTAGCAAACCATGTTCTTCACATTTTTGCTTTCGTTTACGTATCGATATTTTTTTTGCAAACATGGAAAAACGCATGCGCATGTGAGGGTATATGCGCCCCTTGGCCAGTTTCACTTCTTGAACGTATATGTCAAAGCTCTCAGGGGCTAAAGCGTTTCTGATAAGAACCATGCCCACTGTCTTCCGGCATGCTCCTGACCCCCCAAAACTGAGAAACACAATCAGATTACTGTGCCTATGCTCTACTCCCCCAAGAACGAGAGCTGGTTCAAGACAGCCGCCCTTTCTCATCAAAAACATCCGATGCCAAAGCAATGCCGCGAGGAGCAAACATATGAAACCGCGCATATCGAAGGAAAAACTAACGCAATGCTTGAGAGAATCTCTGCGTAGAAGCATTGAAGTAAACCCTACTGATCTAGTCAGCGATTTTGGGTAATGGATGCAGCCATCCAATAGTATTGGATATGGGCACATCATGCTAGTTCCTAAAATCAAAACATATCGGGACATGGAAAGCGTTTTGGGATGTGAAGTGGTTGAAAAGCCTCAAGTATTCGCCCGGGCAACATCCCCCAGTCTGCCAGTCCTCTGCCCCGCAGAGAAAGCATCGATGTCCTGCGGCTGTGGAGTGTATCCAAATGGCTCTGGTACCCTGGCTCGCCATACATAGTATGAAAAAAAATAACCGTATTGAGCCAGGCACGAACCCTCCAATCCGTAGCTAAAAAAATTGGCATATGAACTTGCCCACCTGAGGTTTATCTAGTCCTTCATGAGAAAACAATACAGTACAGATGTACAGGTACTACAGAACTCATCCTTGCTCAAGGCGGTGCTGTGTGCTTCAAGATGCTTCTTCACACGAAGTTGGTTGCGTGCTTGGAATCGTGTTCTGCAGGATCTCGGGTTGCAACCTGTGTCCCTTTGCGGCCCACCATCTATCGGCGTTAACACTCATCAACAGCCCAGCCATCTAGACAAACCATGTTTTCTCAATCATCTAAACGAGATTGTCCAAAAATGCCGCATACCCTCCATAATAATCATATTCGATCATGAAGATCATGGTTCCCCATTAAGATCACTGAACTTATCATGTCTACTGTTGAGGAATATTTTGCCATCTGCTCCCTTATCTGGCCCCGTTCCTGCCGGCACCGGTGCTTGTGCCGCTAGTGCTTCCCAATTGATGCTGAGATTAGGCGTCTCCTGCAATGAGGCGGCAGGTCAAATGCATCAACTTCTTGGGATTTCAACGGGTTGCTGTAAACTTATGACTTGTGTTGGTTTGTTATCTTTCTGGCTTACCAACTTATCTGGTCTATAGAATATCTTTATTGTCCTTCTGGAAACTGTCATGCTTGGGCTCCACGTTACTGTTCAAACAAGTAGGTCGGATGTGCGAAATCAGCATGTTGTGGCAAAACTGCCATTTTTGGTTGCTTTTACCCATCTTTGGATGGCGTAAACCTTGAAGAGCAAAGTGAGAAAGCCATCGCGTTGCAACTGGCCGTGTCCTGGCCCAGCAAGCAGACAAGCACACTCGGGGAGGTGGAAAAGCATCTGGGGTGAATAACCATTTTTGTATGTATGCATGCATGTATGTATATGAACATAAAATGGGAATATAAGAGGGTATTTATGGGTACGAGGTAAAGATTGGAGATTTTGCACCATCCCCCAACCATGAGTGTCATGAGATATCGACGCAAACATGGGGAGTATATGGGATTACTGCGGGTTGGGGATACATACATATATATATATATTTACACACAGCGTGTGTGTATATATATATACACACATATGTATACATAAATTTGTGTATGTATGATCTACATACTCCCATCCCATCATCAGCCCTAGATCCGTTTACTGTTCCAATCGAATCCGCAGGGACCGTCCCAGTGGAGACAGGGGCCTAAAAAACCCAAGGTTTTGCAATCGTGGGTTAGCATTATCTTAAAGGTGGGTTTGTCCAAAAATTGGAGCCCCCTTAAATATTTAAACCATCTGTTTCATCATTTCACAGGGTCCCCTGCTTCCTTTGGGAAATCGCTTGGTGAAAACATCTCCGGCTCCAGCCTATTCGCAGGAAGAGTCTAGAATCGTCCTGCGGTCCATCCCAGTCCAACCCCAATCGTGTGAACACTGGGGCAAACACTTGGGCTGTTGGGAATGAATCCACAGTGTTGCACATGCCAACTAAGGGAAGCGCCTCCGTCTTCAAATTTTAGTGCCAATAGATTCATTTTTTGTACATGTCTTTTGTCCCCGAATTTTCACATGATCATTTCAAATGATTTCAAATCATTTTATATAATTTCATTCTCATGACGCCATCGTGCCGCCCCGCACCAAACTGCCGACATGGTATGGGTAGGAAAAGGATAATACCTAAAGCTTGAAATGGTTACTGGTTGGTTGAGGATCTGCAATGTTTGACAGCCCAACAAACCAAGGCAGAAACAACAAATAAAAGGACCGGACAACCCCACAAGTCAACTTCTTCCAATAATGAGCAAGAAATGTTGTAGCGGGGACGGGGAAGGAAGGAAAGACAAAGGAGGAGGTGGAGGAAAGATGATGTGTGACAAAGTTGTGTGTGTGAAAGATGGTGTGGTGAAAGATGGTGTGTGACAAAGATGGTGTGGTGAAAGATGGTGTGGGACAAAGTTGTGTGTGAAAGATGGTGTGCAAAAGATGGTGTGTCAAAGATGGTGTGTGAAAGATGGTGTGTGAAAGATGGTGTGTAAAAGAGTCAAAGATGGTGTGTCAAAGATGGTGTGTGACAAAGTGGTGTGTCAAAGATGGTGTGTGACAAAGTTGTGTGTGAAATTCCTGAAAGATAGTGTGTGAAAGAGAGGGTGTGACAAAGTTGTTTGTGTGAAAGGTGGTGTGTGAAAGATGGTGTGTGACAAAGTTGTGTGTGAAAGATAGTGTGTGACAAAGTGGTGTGAAAGATGGTGTGTGACAAAGTGGTGTGTCAAAGATGGTGTGTGACAAAGTTGTGTGTGAAATTCCTGAAAGATAGTGTGTGAAAGAGAGGGTGTGACAAAGTTGTGTGTGTGAAAGATGGTGTGTGAAAGATGGTGTGTGACAAAGTTGTGTGTGAAAGAAAGTGTGTGACAAAGTGGTGTGAAAGATGGTGTGTGACAAAGTGGTGTGAGAGATGGTGTGTCAAAGATGGTGTGAGAGCCAGCCCAGAACTCCTCCAGGAGGCTCTGTGTACTGCGCCTTTCCCACGAAAGCCCGTCTGCCACACAAAAGCCAGCCGCCTGCTACACGAAAGCCAGCCGCGGCCCAGCGGCGTCCACGCGCACACCAGCTCCTCCAGAAGGCTCTGTGTCCCGCGCCTGCCACACGAAAGCCATGAGTTGTGCTGTGATGAGTGCTGTGTGATGAGGTGGCGGCTGTGACTGTGTGATCGGATTGCTGTGTGAGGAGTTGGATGTGAGAGGCTGTCTGATAATTAGTGTGAGAGGCTGTGCGGTGAGAAGTTTGTGCGATGAAGTGGTGTGATGAGGCGTGCTGTGATGAGGTGTGAGGTGGCTCAGGTGGTGTGAGAGCAGGCGGCGTGGCGGGATGAGGAGGCGCGGCGGGATGCGGAAGGAGCGGCGGGTGCAAAGCGAAAAACAAGAACCCCACAGAGTGATGTGGGGAACAAGTGGAGGAACCACTGAGAAACTAGTATGACCGTATGACCCGACAAGCAAAAGAGGAGGCTCACCAGCTTACTTATGAATTGGCCCTCCCCTCCCCACAATGAAATACATATGGATAGACCCATACATATATCCATAAATATATGTAAAGCACCATCACCATCAAAACAAAGCGCCATGACATTTCCAACCGCCAGGCCAAGCGATGTCCTGCAGCACTTCGCCCTTCTGCAATTTGAGGAGGTCGCCTGAGCTTCCAAGGGAGCGTGCCCTAGCGGCCCTAGCGGGTTCCGGAATCCGAATGGATTGAAGCCCCAGTACCTTACTTATCAGTGCTTTACTGGGTGATCCTCCATGGATTTTGTGCCGGGGACCATGGTGGAATTGATGGGGGGATGGTGGTAGCTTCATAGCTTCAAACACTCAGATGTGCAGTAAAACATGCTCTTTCGGCGGGCTGACATTGGAGGATTGTCGAATTAATGTAGCCCTGCCAATCGTAAGGTGGTTGAACAATGCACCTAGCCACAGATTTAACTACCGTAAAAACCAATATAGTTAGCCTATAGATATTTCACGCTTTAGCTCTCTCTCTCTCTCTCTGAGCATTTCCGTTGGCATCGGGTCATGGACCATGGTGCCATGATCTTGATCTTGTGAAAACCCATCAGTTGTCACTCAGAAACGGTTAAGCCTGTTGAAATGAACGAAACAGCAGAAACGGATCGTGAAAACTTTCTGGTAGACGCACGGGAAAATCAATCCGCTCCCCACCCCACCTTCTTCTACACCAAGATAGGTGGGGACATCTAGCAGCAGAATGCTGGCAGTCTCGTCCTCGGAGAAATCTTTCGCCCATCCGAACAAGCTGCAGTGGATGAGCAACAAGGTGTAGAACCACATGGAGGAAACTAGGCTTCAAAAGTATCAGTCTTGACCCTTTTGGGGTTCATCCAAATCCAATTTGAGTCTACGGTTGATGTCCGATCATCAACAAATAGCGTACCACTGAGAAAATCAAGGTCCACCTTCGCAATGGCAGCGCTACCCTCCACCAGCCGCTTAGCTTCTTCAATTTAAGATGGAACCCAGAGAGGGCCAGTAGTAAAACCCATCTTTGAGACCACATTTTTAAAGGATGAAGTGTCTGGGGTGTAGCCCTTTCAGCCAAGCATCTGCGACCCAAAGGTCTTCGTTCTCTTTCTCTTGGGATTGACGCTTCTCGAGGACCATGAAGCGGCACTGAGGAATGGGTCCTACCAAGTGCAGTTGGTTCACACACCGACAATGCCCCGGCCTACCCAACAAATCATGGGGAAAATGAGGACGTGGTTATCTAGGAAATATAGGTTATACACATGGGGCATCATGAGATGCAATGCGACCCTTGGTATCCTGTCCTGTTCCGAGGTGGTATCTATTCTGGCTCCCAATTTCATCCCAAGTGTCCATGGTGAAATCCCCATACTTTCAGCGAGCTTGCGGTTTCTGTTCGTGAATCCACGATTTTGCTGGTGTCAGCCTCAGTCTTGTGAAACTCTCTGAAAAAATACCTACACCCCCTTCCTGTAAAATGGCATAGACGTGGAAAACACAGGATTTCTACATTGATTCCCAAGGAAACCATGGGCTTTTGACATCTTTTTGGGGAACACATTTACCCAAGGTAACGAACTTCCCGTTCCCATCTCCTGGTTGGAGCTGCCGTAGTGGTGTCATCGACACACCTATCAACTTTACCAAAGTTCTACACCAATCCAGGCATGTTTTGACCGATGGATATACAAACAAACTTGTAGCTGGGACCTACTAACCAGAAGCAGTGTAACAAACAGAAGCTTTACCAAGAGTGGGTTTACCAAGAAGGACGGCATGAGGGGGCCAAAAGCCAAAAGGCACTATGATAAGCCAGGTCGAAATTATAACAAATTATGATAAATCAGGATGGCCAAAAGGCATTATGATAACCAGGTCGAAACTATGATGAATTATGATAAATCAGGATGGCCACAAGGCAGTATGATAACCCAGGTCGAGACTATGATGAGTTACGATAAATCAGGATGGCCAAAAGGCAGTATGATAACCCAGGTCGAAACTATGATGAATTATCATAAATCACGATGGCCACAGGGCACTATGATAACCCAGGTCCAAACTATGATGAATGATGATAAATCAGGATGGCCAAACGGCAGTATGATAACCCAGGTCGAGACTATGATGAATTATGATAAACCAGGATGGCCACAAGGCAGTATGATAACCCAGGTCGAGACTATGATGAGTTATGATAAATCAGGATGGCCCAAAAGGCAGTATGATAACCCAGGTCGAAACTATGATAAATTATGATAAATCAGGGTGGCCCAAAAGGCACTATGATAACCCAGGTCGAAACTATGATAAACTATGATAAACCACGATGGCCAAGAGGCACTTTGGCAACCCAGGCCAAAACTATGATGAATTATGATAATAAGGATGGCCATACGGCAGTACCAATTGGGATCATGGTGATATACCTTATATACGGGTTTATTGCGATGAGCATTCCATATGAATGGGTGCATGATTATTCATCAACTTCAATTTTGATTTGAAAACTCGGGCGCCGGGGTTTTACCCTGAACACTCACCCACTGAGGAAACACCTTTTTCAGGTGCATCCGTCGAAAAAAACATCTCACAGGGGGAGATTATGTCAAATCATGGTGCGCTTTGTATCTGCGCCTTTTTTGTTGAATGCCCCAGCACCGGAAAGGAAATCGGAAATCAGTCACACCTCGGCCATGGAGGCCATGGGATAGTCATTCCAAATGACAAGCCGCGCTAGGACGCTGTATGGTTTGGACGTCGAAAATGGGCAACCTTTGTATCCAAGAGAATGTTGTTTCACAAACAAAATAAATGTGTTTCCGTTTGCATGCTGTCTTCAGTCCTCATCATGATGTATGGTGAGGTCGGCTAGTGAGAACTCCGGCAATGGTGGCGAAGCTGGTGACTTGAAGATGTCAGCGAGTAGCTATGCGTTGAAGATTTTGGGGTCCCAAGATTTTGATCAAGTTGAAGATCTTGAGAGGCATGTGTACAACACGTAAACATCAACAGGTCATTTGCGGAAATTCATTGAAACCACCTGTTTCCCCGTGTCAGCGGCTGCCTTGAAGCCAAAAAGCGTTGACACCCTTGACTTGGAATGACGGTGAGTTCACTGATATTTTGTCAAGGAATCTTCCCTCGAAGTTCCTTCATGACAAACAATGACCAGAAACACTGAAAAATGCAGCTATTTCTTGCAAAGAAATCAAGAAAAACCTCAACCAGTTGGTTTACCCTGCTACCTTTCACCAACCGCAGGGGAAGTGCCCGACGGGAAATTGAGTTCAGCCTCTCGTTTCAAGGTTAGATCGTTTTGGATGATAGCGATGCTGAATGATAATTCCAGCATGTAAACGTCATGTTGCATTGCCCTTTTGGTTATATGACCGAACCGAAAGGCCATATAAAAACTCGGCGGCACATCGATTTAGATGGTGATCCTCCAAGTACCGGTCAAACTTGCCATGTTACCCAGAAAACTAACCAGCCAGCATTGCTGGCATAGAAATCTGGCACCGAAATAATCCATATTAGCGCTATGCCGTACTTCTTCACAACTTGATGCCCCACTAGACCTCTGCATTATCTGACCATTCTCAGCAGTCCCTTTGTCATGTGGCGCTGGCGTCCAACAACTGCAGCGCTTTGAAGTGACGCAGCAATGACTTGCGGTCCATGCCCCGTAGTTCCTGGGACGGAGAGGACACTTGGAGGATCCTACTTAGAGGGGCTCACCAATTTTACATGGGATAATCGGATAAGCCTGAAGGACTCACATTTGGGTTTCCAACCAGTTACTAGGTGGGATGATGTACGCGTAAGGCTTCAAGCATCAAAGGATTGGGCTAAACGATATAACGACCAGGTAAAAACGGGATATACAATGTTCAGGTTTGCGGAAAAACCGGGGATGCCCCAAATGATCTGAAATGAAAATTTCGATAAGGAACATTATGATCAACTGTAAGCAGTCCTCAGATTTCAGCCGCTAATCTGAGGCCGTTCCTTCCCAGTTGCATATGGAGGCCCGTCGTGGACAAGGGTGATGCATATGTTTCTGGTGTTCACCTACTGGTATGTCACTCTTTTCTCGGGCTTGTTGCTTCTTGAAGCAGCAGCATATGTTCTACCTGTTGGAATGGGGTCATGTTATGCTCCATACCTGCTGGGTGTTGTGATTTACATCTTCCTTTAGCAATGGCTCCCCCAACTGTCAACCTTTTCCCTGGCCGAAAGTCGTTCTTCCAACAGCGCACGGCTTCGCCGCTCTTGTCTGTGGATGGCTCCATGGGCCAGTCCTGGCCAACTACTTTGTCCATCTTGGGGCAGCGCTGACGTCCTACGAATTTCCTAAAGGCGCTCACTATATGCTAACTGTTGCTAATTATTCATTTGCTGTTAAAGGCGATGATAAGTCCTGCTTCCATCTATGGTGTTTCTTTTTTACCCGACTTGACCCATTACTCAACAGGGCACTTGAAATCCAAATCCCAATTCGAGGCAAAGAAAACCTGACCAAAAAAGATTGCTAGTCTAAAAACCTTCACGAAGGAAATGCTACTGAACAAATGCTAACAGCCCCCAGCCCCAGGGATCTTGATCCCACCCTTCCCATTCCGCCTCACCATACATGAAACCCAATTCCTCGATGCCAGACTGTTCATTTTCCTTGGAGCCAGGGTTGGATCACCGACCTTCACCTCTTGCCAGGTGAGCCTAGATGGTTCACAGTAAAAACTATCAGCCGAGATGGTTCCAGGCGCCTATTTTTGAAAACCTGAAATCATCTGCATCCTGATGTTGGATAGGGATTTGAAAGAAGAGTTCTTGCAGTGAGGAAACTGGACAGGCCTTTATACCTGTCACGACATCTATCCGTCCATCTATCTTATCTTATCTTAGCTTAACAGATTCTATCTAATTATCCATCTATCTGCTTATCTATTCATGAATCTATTGGTTAGCTCTTTCTTCAAAACCCTCCGAGCCGCTCGGGGGTGCATCATCAAATGACGACATGTTCAAGATACCACAAGAGTGGCTTAAGCCAAATCTCACCTCTTGGGACCTCGAAATTGCTACCCAGTTGGAACCCAGGGAAAGACATCCCCAAGCTTTCGACTAACTGTGGGGGGAGGGGATTGGAGGCCCATGTTCATTACTTCGTTGCACATGAACCAAACATTCACCGGGGGATACCACCATTTCAGACATGCTTCGCGCCCAAATTTTCAAAGAGCAATCTTTCATCATCAAGAAAACATCTACACTCAATTACACCAAAAAGAACTGTCAAACATGAACCATTGATCCCATTCAAATCCTATCCCTATTGGAATCTTCCACCCATTCAGATTCCCCGGTTCCACAGACCTCCAAGTTTCAGCCCGATCCAACGCCTTCACCGTTGGAAGCACATGGCGGTGCACCAAGGCCTGACAAAAAAACGAGCACCCGAGCATCGCCATGGTGGAACTTCATGGGAATGTCATGGGGGTTTCATGGGAATTCATAGGTTTTCATGGCAATGTGTGGGATTTCCATGGGGGTTTCATGGGTATTATGGGGCCTATCATACCGAATCATGGGCTATTAACTAGCAACAATAGGGATAGCCGGAAAAATGGGGATGGAGGGGGACCTATAGCCAACCATAATATGATTTTGCATCTGCCTGAGAATGGGGGATCATGGTGGGTTGATGGGTACTTGGAGGAACCATTGAGAAGGTGAGTGCTTGTGGGCCTGAAGCTTATGTTTCATTTTTAAAGGGAAGAATCCCATCACTGCAACAAGCCGCGAAGAACCATATACAATCTGGGCATATCCCGTTTAGAAATACGTTGTAGCCAATTTGTTATCGCATGATTGTGCTTGCCGGCCGCGTTCGACTCAAAATGTTTCACATCATTTATTCCAGGTCATCAACCTTGAAAAACGCTCCAACGTTCATGATTTCATGTGAGCATGGCTCCAAAATTCATGACCAGGAGGCCGCAGATGAAAGGTCCAATCCCAAGATAAGAACTGACCTTTTTGGGCGCTACCGCTACTCACCAGCTTCGGCCCGCGATAAATCCCACTATATTTCATGACATTTTCATGATTGTTGGCAAGCTCATTTTCTTGGTTGAAGCGCCCATAAAAGATAATGAAACCCACTGATTCATATCCCATCCCTGTAAATTATAACCCTAGACAAAATTCATGTAGCTACATGCGCACATTCTTATCATTCCAACATAAAGATGGTAACGGTCCCACTTCTTCAGGCTTCAGCTGTCTGTTGGTGCCTGCATTTCAGCAGTGAACTCGGGCATGGGAGGCCAGCTGAAATCGTCCTGGACGCCATTGCCGGGTTCTTCAATTCTTCATGGATAGCTAAGCAAAAATATCTGGATATAACGAGACTTGTATCATATTTACAAATGGGTGACATTTACCAAGGTAACATCTTAAGGCGCATGTGACTGCTGATCATCTGACCCCAAGGGTCGTCCAGTATTCCAGCAATGGATGGCGTCGTTTGTATCATGCTGCTTTTTTCGTGGGGATATCACCCACCAAACAAGAATCCTTTGGTCGTCCCAGTCTTGTTGATGCTAGAAAAACGGCCTGCTATTGTCCCTATAGTAATCAATCCATGCTTGATTCGGCCCTGTCCTCGATCTCTCCGGGCATCAGTGCCTTGAACTCATCCTGGATGCTGGGTGCCGGCCAAAAACACCAGTCTGAACCGGGGAATGACTTGATGTAAAATTTGGAGACTCATCCCATCAATGATCATTAATGTACTGTAAATCTGGGAGTGGACTTTAAGGTTTCAACTGCTTAGAGTATCATTTTATTGAAAAAAACCTGGCTGTAACCATGCCAAGAAAATGCCATTGATACAGCAGAGAATCCGCTGACCTGACAGTCAGGCCTTTCAACCAAATACTAAATGTGATGATCCTCTGCAAGCTGGGGGATGAAGCCAATGACATCAAACAACAAGCCGGGTGAGTAAAATGGAAAAGAGGGATGCAAGCCAGTTGGATGATAACAGCTCAGTTCGTACTTCGGGGATTTTTCATTAACATACTTTTAAAATTGGTACAAAAAAGAAGATGAACAAATACACAGGGAATTTTACCAGTTGATGCATAGATTGATGCGTAGATTGTGCATCAAATTCCTGGATGACATTGATGACCGCTAGCGGCAAAAGGTGCCCCTTTTGTTATCCCTTGGACAATAGGTTAACATCCATGCATATGTAATGATACATCCCTTATGGGAAAAATCGGGGTTCATCAAACTCTAGTTTGTGTGAAATGTCTCATTCATCCATCAAAACAGTTGACCACGAGTCCAAACAAACCCCATCAGCAGTCGGTGTACCCATTATTCCATGGCAATATCCCAGGTTGCTGATTGTCCATCCGCCAATGCTGGTTGGTTGAGGGAGGGGCTCTCATATAAAAACGATCATGACAAGCCACAACTTACCATCTAAGTATCATGACCCCACTGTAAAGTCATGACCCAGCCATAACATATGATTCATAATCGGTTTTTGGTAGTTAAAACCCACATGAATCCCTAAATCAACATGACCAGAAATAATGGGGATGGATGACTATACTATGGAACTTTGGGGTTTTAAGTACAACAAAAAATGATGCTTTAACCATGTTTAACCATGTTTAACCCCCCAGTTTGATCCTCAGCATCTGGATCAATGGTATCGAGAAGGCCATTCACTTGGGCGTCTTCGTCCCAAAAAGTGGTGCTTTCATCATCCCATTGGTTCCTGGCACGGCTGGCACGGCTGAAATTCCTGGTTTAGTAAGGCAAACCGTCCTGGTTTAGGCATCAATAAAGGTAACATGGAATATGTACCGAATAGAAACAGGAATTCGAGTTCCAAAGATAGTGTCTGAAAAATCAATTGGATACTGAACTGACATCGGACAATGGTCATACTTCAAGATGGCGGAGGGAATTGTTCACGTATCAAAGCATTCGGTTTCTCAAATCAGGGCAAGTCACAACACTTCAACAAACTTTTCAAAAACTTCAGCAAACTTTTTGATCTCGAGGGCAATCTTTGGCTGATTTGGTGGGATTTGCAAACAATCTACCGCTGTTCTCGCCGTGCTTTTCCTTTTAATTTCCAGTGCGGCCGAGGTTCTGATTGTGCGTACACGGGGGTGCCATCTATTTAGATTTTAATCAGTTCTTAAGGCCCATGACATCCATGTAGTAGATAAGCAAAAGCCCGTCACGTCCCTCACAACCCCCATCCCAAATTTTCGTCTCAATTCACAAGAAGTGAAAAGCCCCCAGTACACCAATTCTTTCACAACTCTATACCATTCTTTTGCGCCTCCTATTGAAGATCCTGATACACTCTTCATACCGCCAAAAAAACTGGTTCCACCTGAGGCGAAAGATCTGCTTGCCGTAGATGTAGCTGGGCTTCTCATCATCACCAGCAGTGAAGACAAGGACAGGGTAATCTCCCTGGCTGTGATAGATCCTCAGCTGGTTGAGGTACCCCGTGATGGGTTTCTAGATGAATATGGATGTTTCAGTGGGGGTTTCAGTGTTTCGGGGTTTCGTATGTGCTTTCTAAAAGATGGGGAATAGACATCCCCTATGGCAACTTTTCAGAGAAAGCGATGGTGAACCAATGGGTTTCGGATTGGATCAATGCGGGGCCCGATACATTCGCAGTTTCAATGTGGGATGAAATTACATGTAATGTACTGTGGTGGAACGGAATGAAATGACATGTAATGAAACTGCATCTAATGAATTGGAATGGGACGGAATGGAACTCAACGCAATGTGATTGAATGGAGCGGAATGTAATGTCATGTTATGTACATGTCATGTCACGCAATGCGATGTACTGTCATATCCTGTCACGCAATGTTTGACATGCAATGTAGCGCCAGGTAATGTAATGTCACGTACTGTCATCTCATGAAATGCAATGTAAAGTCGTCTAATGCAATGTCATTTTATGTCAGGAGATATAATGTTTTTTAGCGTGATGTGATGTACTGTCATAAGATTCAATGGTAGGTAATGCACTGTAATGTAATGCAATGCAATGTAATGTCATGTCATTTAGATATTTAGTGTCATGTAATGTCATGATACATGTTATTTAGTGTCATGGCAGGTAATATCATGGAATATCATGTCATGTAATGTCGTTTCATGAATGTAAACTAAAGCAAAAGCCAATATAATGTTGTGGATTTTTGTCATGTAATGTAATGTAGTGTCACGTGATGTTGTGTCATCTCATGACATGTAATCGATTGTCAATCTCATGTAATGTCATGTAATGTCTTTTAATAAAATGTGATGTCTTGTCATTTAAGGCCATGAAAGGCAATGTCATGAAATGTCATATCGTTCAATGGAATGTAATGGCATGTCATGTCATGTCATGCATCGTAACGTCATGTATTTTCATGTAGTGTCATGTTAGTTGGTGTCATTTAAGGTAATGTCACGCAATGCCCTGTAATGTCATGTCGTAATGACATGCTCTCTAATGTTTCATCATTTAATGTCATGTCATGTCATGCAATGTAACGTTATGTAATTTCATGTAACGTCTTGTCATTTAAGGTAATGTAATGTCATGCTATTTGGTGTCATGCAAGGTAATGTCAAGTAATGCCCTGTAATGTCATGTCGTAGTGACATGCTCTCTAATGTTATATCATTTAATGTCATGTCATGTCAAGTATTGACATGTAATCTAATGTAATATCATGGAATGTCATGTATGTATGTCATGTAATGTAATGTAATGTCATGTCATGTCATGCATCGTAACGTCATGTATTTTCATGTAAGGTCTTGTCAATTTAGGTAATGTAATGTCATGCTATTTGGTGTAATGTAAGGTAATGTCACGCAATGCTCTGACATGTCATGTCGTAATGACATGCTATCTAATGCTAAATCATTTAATGTCATGTCATGTATTGACATGTAGCCTAATGTAATATCAATGTCATGTCATGTCATGCATCGTAACGTCATGTATTTTCATGTAATGTCATGTTAGTTGGTGTCATGTAAGGTAATGTCACGCAATGCCCTGTAATGTCATGTCGTAATGACATGCTCTCTAATGCTATATCATTTAATGTCATGTCATGTCATGTATTGACATGTAATCTAATGTAATATCATGGAATGTCATGTATGTCATGTAATGTAATGCAATGTCATGTCATGCATCGTAACGTCATGTATTTTCATGTAATGTCTTGTCATTTAAGGTAATGTAGTGTCATGCTATTTGGTGTCATGTACGGTAATGTCACGCAATGTCCTGTAATGTCATGTCGCAATGACATGTACTCTAATATTTCATCATTTCATTTCATGTCATGTCATGTATTGACATGTAGTCTAATGTAATATCATGGAATGTAATGTATGTCATGTAATGTATTGACATGTCATGTCATGTCATGCATCGTAACGTAATGTATGTTCATGTAATGTCTTGTCATGTAAGGTAATGTAATGTCATGCTATTTGGTGTCATGTAAGGTAATGTCACGCAATGTCCTGTAATGTCATGTCGTAATGACATGTACTCTAATATTTTATCATTTTATGTAATATCATGTCATGTATAGTGTAAATGTAATGTTTGTCTGTGTATCTATTTAGTGGGCTTCATCTGCATGTCTGTTGGCAACTGGTTCCCACAACAGGTTGCTGCATCCGAAGCACCAAATCTTGCACTCCTCCAAAGTCCTGGGCCCAGCTGAAGGACTGTTCGATACCTTGGAAAAATGCCAATAGTATATACCAATATATCACTACTTGTTATAGTATATACCAATAGTTTGTTTATTTGCATCACTACTGGTGTGCGATACCCAGGTTTGTATCCCGACTTACCCATCCAAAGTTTCTAAACTTGGTATCCTCAGAAAATGCCGGGGCACTTGGCGCGCCGGGGGAACTTCTGCACGAATTTCCCCCACCAGGACTTCTCCAACAACTTGTCCTCCAAGTCGTTGCGCTCCTTCTGTACCCTGGCCTTGAAACGCAGCAGTTTGAAGAGACGAGTTTTGGGGATGGTCGGATGGTCAAACCAAACAGGTACACATTGAAACCATCATATAATCTTGCAACATATGTCAAACATATGTCAAATATATGTCTATATGTTTATGTAAAAACATATATTGACAATACTTGTGTTAAGAATCGCTGATCCTTCATGTTTCATTGGCGCAAAACTAGTTGCTGCATGGAATGGACTTAGCACAGACCCGCGTATCATCTAGAAACGGTATCTGTTTCAGTTGGCAAGTTTCCAAGCTTTTTTGAACAACCCCCAATTTGGGTTGGTCAACTGTCTTTGGTTTGCCATTTTTTGTTGGCCTTTGGCTAGACAATTTTGGGCGAGGTTACCAACAAACATTTTAGGTGTTTCTAATTCAACCCCTGTTCCACCAACATCATTGGCTACTCGAGAATTCAGCATGGGGATTGGACCACCAAAGTCAAAGATCTTGGCAGCAATGGGAAATCAAAACATGAACCGCCAATCAACCAAAGACTTTGGAATCGGTTGCCCATCAGTATCTGTGTATAGTTTTACCACCTTCCATTTTTCTTGCAAGATCCAATTCACATTCCACCTTTTGATATGGTAAATTCCATAATGTGTATCCATGTGCATCCGTTTTTTACATGGCAAAACCGTGGGGTTTTGCTGACCAAAGTTTGGGCCTGCTGATTTTCCCCAAACGCGCTGCATGGGCCAAGGATCCAGGGCGGAATCCACCTGCCCGCAGGCAACATTGGGAAAGGCCGGGGAACATGATGGATTTGGGCATGTTTATAGCCATAGGCCATAGGCAATGAGATGGAGAGAGAGAGAGAGAGAGAGGGAGAGATAGAGAGAGAGAGAGAGCTAGATGGATGGATGGATAGATGGATAGATACATAGAAAGATGGATAAGATAAGATAAGATTAGATTGCATTAGATTAGATGCGATAGGTAGATAGGTAGATAGATAAGAAAGACAAGAAAGACAAACAAAGATAAGATAGATGAGATAGAAAAGAAAAACAACATATATATAATAATTAGGATAAATAAGAAAGAAAAATATAGACACGATCAATACGATAGAAAACAGAAGATAGATAAGATAGATAAGATAGATACGAAAGATAAGATATATTAGAGAGATAGATAAGAGAGAAAGAAAGGTAGATAGATAGACAGATAGCCAGATTTCAAGCATAGAAAGATAGATAGGTAGATAGATAGAAAGATCGCAAGATAGAAAGATAGAAAGATAGATAGATAGACAGATCGATAGATAGATAAATAGATAGATAGAGAGATAGATCGATAGATAGATAGATAGATAGATAGATAGATCGATAGACAGATAGATCGATAGATGGAAATATAGACTGATAGAAAGAAATATAGATAGATAGAAAGGTAGATAGATAGATAGATAGGTAGATAGATAGATAGATAGACAGATAGATAGACAGATAGATAGATAGGTAGATAGATAGATAGATCGAAAGATAGATAGATAAGATAGATTAGAAAGATAGATAGTTAGATAGATAGATAGATAGATCGAAAGATAGATAGATAGATAGATAAGATAGATTAGAAAGAAAGAAAGATAGATAGATAGATAGAAAGATAGAAAGAAAGTAAGATAGATAGATAAATAGATAGACAGATAGATAGAAAGAAAGATAGATAGATAGACCGACATATAGATAGAATAGAAAGAATAGAATGGAATAGAATAGCATAGAAAAGAACAGAATAGAATAGAAAAGAATAAAATAGAACAGAATAGAAAAGAGTAGACTAGAATAGAACAGAATAGAAAAGAATAGAACAGAGCAGAACAGAATAGAATAGAAAAAACTAGAATAGAACAGAATAGAACGGACATATAGATAAGATGGGTAAGAAAGATAAGAAAAAGATAGATAAGATATAGATAAGATAGATACGATAGATAAGGTAGACAAGATAGATGGGAAGATAGGGTAGATAGACAGATACAAAGTAAGATAGGTAGATAGATAGAAAGATAGAAAAGAAATATCGATAAGATAAATAGATAGCTAGCTAGCTAGCTAGCTGGCTAGCTAGCTAGATAGATAGATAGGCAAACCGATACAAAGATAGACAGACAGACAGACAGACAGATAGATGAGAAAAAGTAGACAGGTTAGACAGATAGATAGTTTAGAGAGATTAGATAGGCAGATAGATTGGAACGATTAGATAGATTAGATAGGCAGATAAATTAAATAGACAGATGGCATGGATAAGACAGATTAGATAGATAAGAAGGAAACATAGATAAGATAGATACGGTAGATAAGATAGGAGATAGAAAAGATAGATGAAAAAACATAGAGAACAGACGCATAGAATAGATAAGGTAGATAAGATAGATAAGAAAGATAATATGGATAAGAAAGAAAAGCAATAACAGATAGATAAGATGGGTGAGGCAGACAAGAAAGACACGATAGACAAGATAGAAAAGATAGATAAGATAGATCAGATAGATAGGATAGATAGGATAGAAAAGATAAAAAAGATAAACACGATAGACAAGATAGATAAAATAGATAAAATAGAAAAGACATGTAGAATAGATAAGATAGATAAGATAAGATAGAAAAGATATAAAGGATAAATAGGATAAATAGGATTGGAAAGGTAGATAAGATAGACAAGATAGATAAAATAGGAAAATAGAGAAAACATAGAGAATAGATACGATAGATAAAAAAAGGTAGATAGATAAAAAGGACAGAAAGGATAGATAAGACATATAGAATAGATAAGACAGATAAGATGGATTAAATAGATAAGAAAGAACCGCAATAAAAGGTGGATAAGATGGATAAGAAAGGCAAGATAGACAAGATAGACAGGAC